AGAATAGATCTTGGACACGGGCAGAGATGCGATGATACGAATGAAGAAATGTCCTAGCTGGTGACTGCCGAGGCCCTGCCCAGCCCCTCACCCCAGCTTGCCTGCCCCCAACCCCCACTGTTCTGTCACTTCTCCTGGGTTTAGCTGGGGAGGGTGCTATTTCGTATAAACACTGTGGGGAGGCGGAAGGCAGGACTCAGCGGTGTCACTGTGATGTCTGCATTTGGAAAAAACCCTCAAATCCCAGAGCGTCTGTTCCCCTAGCAGATTTGTACCTGTAAGTAGCCAGGCTTCGCTGATGTCACAGCTCAGCTCTCTGCCCACCGCACACGCGTCCAAACTCACATGAGGCTACACGCCACTCACGCCTCAGCCTCATCCGCAGACACGCACGGCTCACGCGGTCACCTGTCATTCCCCCGACGACCCCACCCACACATCCGCAGGCACACGCCAGGCAGATGCTCGCCTCCCCCCCAGCCCCCGCATCCCTCCTGGCCGCGATCCCCCTCTCCACCGAGACACTGATTTGCAGGATGGAAGCCCTCCACCCCCAGTCCCCTGGAGCCTCTGCCCATCACATGAGCTCACAGATCACGGCATGAGCCCGCTGTGCCCGTCACACAGGTTCTAAATCTCCCGTGGTCGAGCCCCAGCAGGTCCCAAGCACCCATCTCCAACCAGTGACGTGAGAAGTCAAAAAACAAACAAAAAAATGTTATCTTTCCTGGTGCTTCTTCTCGTCAGCCCAGCCCATGGTCACCAGCAGGCCCTGCATCTCAGGCCCTTCCCTGTCCCCTCCCCCACGCTGGTTCCCCCTCCACCCCTCCTCAGGTCATCGCCCCTCGCTGTCCTCAGACCCTCCCGCAGCCGGGCAGAGCAGAGAGCAGTGGGAAAAGCCCTGGCTTTGAAACCAGGGAGTGATGTTAGCGACACAGTTGAGCCTGTGGCTCGTCATCCGTGAAACGGAGTTAAAAACAGCGACCTCACCGCGTAGGCGGATCAAAGGGAAACACTGTTAGGGAGCGTGGTGTGGAGGGCCGCCGTGTGGGCCATGGCCTTCGGGGGTGTCAGTCCCCGCCCTGAGCCTGCTCCCTTTCTCCTGCATCCCGCCCCCAACTGCCTCCCTCCAAAAAAAAAAAATACCCCACAAAAGCAAAAACCTCCCAAAATTCCAAACGGCTTAAAAAGCAAGGGGCCCTTTCGAGGTCTCCCCACTCCAGACCTCAGAAGGAAGGAGCAAAGGCCCCCCCAGGCTCTCCGAAGCCCAAGTGTTTCAGTTTGGATTCCCCAGTACTCCTCCCACATACTATAGAATCGGATCATAATCTTCCAGCTATAAAATCAGTTCCTGGGAGGAAATGTGAAATTCGCACTGGAAATGGGAGTCAGTACAAAGCCACTTTGCCCAGCCCTCCGCCCCTCCGCCCCTCCTTACTCTCCTGCCCTGCCCCGGGTCTGGGGGCCGGGAGGCATAGGAAGGGCCGGGGCCATTTCCAGCTTCGGCCACACTTACTTTTATTCTACCAGGTGGTTCTAGACCTTGCTCCTCTCAACTGCGCCTAAACACCCTTTTGCTTAAAATATTTGGGTCAGGCCAGATAAATGGATTCTTTCAGGAATGGCCCCAATTAATCCCTAATTCTTTGCTTTCTTTGGGCAGCATAAATACTAAGCCACAAATTCCTTTGTGTTTGAGCTCCCTGAGGCCCTTTGCTCTTGGAGGTGACTGCTGAGCGTGAGGATGGGTGGGAAGGTGGGGGTCTCAGAAGACCCTAACTCAACCCTTCCGTAAGTGAAAACAAAGCTGGCACGAGAAGCTTTTCAAGACATCAGACTCAGGTCCTAGGCTGTAGGGAGAAGGCGTG